ATTACTCCAGACATTTTCAATTGAGGAAACTTTCTTGATGGGAAGCGAAACATCTTGGAAACTTGGGGAAAAAAAGTCCAGTGGATTTGTTTTTAACTTTTTTTGGGACGATCAAAACACTAACATAATAAATAATCAGCTGGATTTTGGTCTTTTTGATATAGGCATATAACCTGACTATGTACCTTTGAAACTTTTCTGAAGCAGCAGATCTCGGAACCAAGCCTAAAAAAGGCCAGACTGTTTATTTAGTCATAAAGCAAAGAGCTCAAAACTATCACTAGTATTATATTTCAAGTAGATTTATCATTCCTCATCTCAATCTTGTGAGCTGAATATTTCGTTACACCCCTAATCAAGAGCTGAACTGGAGATGATTGTTGGTGTTAAGGCAGAAAGACTCCACAGCAAACTCAAGCCATCACCTCACAGAGGACTTGCCTTTCCTGCCATTCACCGGTGGATCTTGGAGTTTGTCTTCACTGTTAGCTGCTAGAAGCAGATTGAGGTTTATCAGATTATGAGACCCAGAGACATTAAAGTAAAGTAGAACACTTCAAATAACCTCCAACAGATCTGATCGTAAACACATGGCTGACCTAACATCTGTGAAATGGCCTAAAAGTGTGTTGAATGCAGAGAATTTGGCCAATACAACTCAACTAAGACTACAATGAGTTTAAAAAATTAACAATTGAACAACCAAATTAGCTTAAGCAAATATGCTGAGTTTTATTTCTAGAGAATCAAGGTTTTACATTCATGAGGGAGACTCACTAATGTCTAATTACTGATGTCTTCTGCATGGTCCCTAATGTAACAGAATTAAAAATAAGTCAATTGTAGATGGATATCTCATGACCCTTATGAAAGAGTTTATCTAGATCGCTAGTAAACACTGTTTTCTTCTAAAGAGAAGAGTCAAACTAAGACATATCAACTAAATAAATTATTGGGGTGATATAAACAATCATCAACATAAAGAGGTGGAATCCAGCTGCAGTGATGGGAAAATGTCCCAGTTTGTGCCGTCCCTTGGGGACTGTTACAGTTAAATTTTTCAAGTCATTCCCAATGTGGCTTTTTGAAGTTAGTGTTAGTCAGTCAAAAACACCAACATGACACATAAACAAGACGGGATGGTAAGAAGCAGGAACGATGGGAAACCCCAGTTTCTGCCAACATTCCCGTCGTTCTTCCAAACTTATGAATCGTTCTAAAAAATATCAATCTATGACGTTTGTCCACAAAACTTCTCTGTCTAGAATGATTTGATTTCTTCTTTTTATGAATGTCATTGATATTAATTGCCCAAACAGGTTTTTTGTGGAGAAAAGAATTACAGGGTTCTAGCGCTCTGTGCTTTGCTCCTGGTCTTGCTATAAAAATATACTCTATACATATGAATATTAAGTTCTTAAACACATTATAAACATCTTAGTTCATCCAAACTTATTGGAACATTGAGTATATGTTCAACATGTTAATGTAAATAGCGACAAACTGGAGAGATAAGACTAAATGGATCGACATGTCTAACTCTTTGGTCATGTGAGAGAAATTCAGGAGAGGAATGAAGGTGGAGAAATGAGAAAAGAATCAGGTAAGATGACACTAAATCTCTATAAAAATATGTCATATTTTTATAAACATTTCACAACTAAGTACTATATTTAGCTAAATATTCAAACGGTCCTTCTGGGTTTAGCTGTATTTAGCAAGAAAGACCAAAGGAAAAAAGCGACCATGACTAAAACGTACGGAGGCGGAAGTCTGCTACATGCAGAGAATACAAGAAAAACCCTTGAGAGTACAAAAACTCACATATTGATAAAGTATCTGAGCAGCCAAACAAGTCAATATTTAACAATAACACAGTCAACCTAAAGCAAGCTGTATAGGTACACATCAGCTGAAACAACCTGCAGGATCCAGATGGATCCAGAGGTCAGAAAAACATGCAAGACGAGGCTTGTTCAACGTTTTCCACTGCAGACAAGATTTCAGTTTTCTCAGAGAAATACGGCTCAACCGGAGCTTCCTGCCTGATAGACTAAACCCACACATCCGATACAAACCTTCAGTTGACTGTGTTCCTTCTTTTCCATCTTCTGAGAGAGAAATGAAAATGGATCAATAAAAAGATGAATGCATGGTCATCAAAAGCAGAAAAACAAAACTAGAGTAGATGAAACAAATCAACAAAATAATAAGTCCCAGATCGATTATCCCAAAGTCTAAGTGACTTACTTCTATCTGTGCCTGTGGGTGGAAGCTGTGGGAGTTGTCGCCCTCGTCTACTGGGAGTACTGGTGGGACTGGTCTGGACAGATCCACTGCGAGGATGTGCCCTGAGTGACAAAACCGACAGTTCCCGTGAAGCAGAAGATAAGAGCAGGCAGTGGATGCAGGGCAAGGGACTATATGCATCCACATCATAGACATACAACAAAAAGACAAGCATTTAGTTTGGTCCTATCAAATAAACAGTAGAATATTCAAAGTCACTAAAATGCATCATTATTGCCCCTCGGTTCAAATTCTCTCGGTGGATTTCAAAACAAATGCACACAACAATGAGGTTTGGCACATGATGCTGAGCTGCAATAAAAGATGCTTGGTGTGAAACGTATGCATGTACAGTCGACCCATCAAGCTGCGGGGAGAAAGGAGTTCAATGCAGAAAGGGCAGACCAGTGCGACCATGCGTTCATACTGTCTCTCAACTGCTTGAAATCTGAACAAAAAAGTAAATCAAACCAAAAACAAAAAAACAAACACAATGCCATCACAAGGGATAATCAGCATCAGTTAACGTTAATGAAACCAAAGTATAATATTGTCCCCATCACTGCTATACCCACAAATGTATAAGCAGTGTGGTACATAATATTTAAAAAAAAAAGAGGTAGCAAGCTTGCTGTGGTGTTAGGATCAATGTGTCTGGAATGTGGGTAAAGAAAATACACTAACATCCACAGTGCTGTTAGGAAATAAACAGAAAAAAGTGGCTAGGCTGGGGTTAAACGTGGTACTAATGGAGTGAACTGGGGTGAGGTGGGTGGAGTCGAGTTAGGCAGGGTATCAGGAGAAGTAAATAAGAGGGATCTGAGAGTGTTGGGTTTAGTAAGGGAGCAGGGAGGTGAATACAGTATGAGTTAGTCTGCAACAGGTCAGGTAGGAGTCCCCCAGGGTATGTTAGCTCTAAGAAGGTTTTAGTTAAACAAACATTTTAACAGAGGCTGAGCGACTCTGGCAGATAATACAATGATTTCTACTGGTTGATTTAAATCTCATAGAGGGGTTAAACTAAAATATTAAAACATTAGGTTGCTATCAATATGAGCAACGTGCCGCCTATCTAAAGGACCATTTACTCTACCCGCTGAGGTTGGATCAGTTAACCAGTTAACTCGGTTCCTTAAGAACATTTAGGGCTGATTTATAATCTGAAACCAGGTCGTCTGCGTGTGTCGCAGTGAATGCAAATGTGCCTCCGCCCCTTCCGCAGTCAATCTGCTGCACCTCTCTAAAATTGTAGGTGAAGACAGACAGTGCTGCAGACAGGAGGCCTCTGATTGGTCAAATCTTTATCCGCTCTACACTATGCGTATTTCCTGTTTGGTACCTTACCAGCTTGTTTTTTTTTTTTTATGACCGCCATTGTGGAAAAAGACTCGTGAAGACGTACCAGCTGGAAGAGCGAGGTGCGCAAGGGTAGGTTCTAGACAGGGTCCAATGGGGGCCAGTGCCCCTGTAGATCATGTCCTGGCCCCTGTACGAAGACATGATACTCAAAGAAATTCTAATGATGATATGCGCTGGAACAAACATTGGTTACTGATAGGTCCTTTGGATCTCTTTCATTTTTTTCCTTTACAAATTCTGTTTTACTAATTATTTAAAAACAATGAGGTGATAGCTTCAGTGGTATTGAGATAGGATCCCAGTTTTCATCAAATTTTAAAAAATGCTCTAATTTTTACAGCTGAATTTATACATTTTTTTTTAGTTCTAATTCAGATTTTGTTTAAAACTGTAATTTTTAACTTAAAATAGGTCAAGACATTTAAAATTCCTAATTTATGAATGTATATTGACCGAAAAAGACATAGAATATGAATTAAACCTAATTGAATAGAAATTTCACTTTATGCAGATTTCTTAATATATTTGATTCCTTTGCACTGTTTTTAATTTCGTTCTTTTCTGTGCCCCCATGAAAACATGCTGGCCCCCTCCTGGCCCCGTGGTACATTTGGTCTAGAACCGCCACTGGCACTGGGACCCTTTTTCCACCTGGATCTACGCTCTTTTTGGCCCTCATTTCCCTCCGTTGGCGCACAAACCTCCTCACTGCCTTGGCCATATCTAGACCCTCAGCTAGTTCCTGATTTTCCCTCTTGCATTGTGGCATGGAATAACATAGCCTAGACCATGCTTTAATATTGGGCATAAATCAAAAGTATCTGCGGCAAGCTTACTGCGACACACTGCTGCGGGAGGATAACCAGCCCTCGACAGTAAGGAGATGACGAAGTCTGCTCATGCGCTCTTTGTTATCTGAGAACTGAGCCAGAACTGAACCACTCCAAGCCCTACTGTTGAACTAGTACCATGTTTGCGCGGTTCGGTTGTGTCTGCCGCAGTACGGTTCAGTTGTGTGTGCCATTTACACTCAACAGTTATCTCGGCACGGTTTTAAAAGGGTAGCGTAAATGGAGATAAGCTTTTATTTTACTCATCAAATTTGCTCACATATAGCAAAAGTTTTTCACTTTTAGCATCACAGCATTAGATGTTCTTTGTCAGCTACTGAATGATCAGTTATTCTACCTAAGGTTTGGATGTTTTTTTCTTATTTTTGCTTTTTTTTTTTGTCTTGTTCTTTAACCCCTCCAGTAGAGCCGCATCTCTGGAAAATGAGTGCAAAACCAAAACCTCCAGCTTGTCGTTAGTCTGTTTTTGTTAGCCTCTCCGATCTGGGTCACACCTCGTCATGGCAGGGGAGGGGGGTGCGGACCTCCCAGATGGCAGAGATGGCATCGACCTCATGAGGGAAGAGTCGTGGGGGCGTTCAGAAGAGCGAGAGCGGGATGAGAGGCGTTCTATAGTGGGTCGCTGGTCGGCAGAGCGGGACCTGCTGTGAAACTCGTGTCTATCCATGGATCCGTGGTTCCTACAGAGGTTGTTGAGAAACAGGCAGGCACTCAGTGTGACTCCAGGATGTCCTGGGACATTTTGCTGGCAATGTGGACATTATGGAGGTCAAAGATGACTTTTGGAGCCTTTTGTAAAAGAGTTATGTGGGTACTTGGCTGAAGTTTTAACCTATAAAACACTTTTTTTTTTGTAGGAAGAAAAACTAAAGGACAAATAAAGACAAATTTATTGGGACCTCTGGAAAAGATATATAAAAGTCCTTAAAATAAACTCATATGTTATGTCAGTCAAACATTCTCTCACTAAAAATACTTATTAGTGGAAAAAAAAACAACTTTAAGAAACAGCTGATCTTAATATGGATCTTAAATTCGATCACTTGTGGCATAATTAGTAGTTCTCCTGCTACCTACATCTTTTGTAAGAGAGAACATTTACTTTTCTGCGATAAACTTTCGCCATATTGGATCGTAAATTAAGCGATCTTTGGCTCTACTTATACAGCCGATCTCATGCTTTGAATTTTCTTCTTATCTCTAACATTTTGACTTTAGGACTGGCATAGAAACCAAATTGATCAAAGGTTTTGTGTAATAAAAAGATTTAATTATTTTCTTTTTTCTTTACATATGTTCTATTTATTTTATTTTTTTGTTTTTTCTCAAATGATATATTGCAGCATTTCAGATTTTTATCTAAGATCTTCCGGTTTTTAAAGACGCTTTCAGCCTTTGTTGAACTCCCGAATAGGGATGTCACAATACTGAAATCTGTGCAATTACTGTCTAAAAAAGAATATCGAGAAATATTGGTAATAAAAGTATATATGATCTGCACTGATATCGTATCGCGTCAATTTTGGTATCTGTCGACACTCAAAGCTGCAATATCTGTATCGTATTGGAAAGTTTGAAAGATATATGGAGTCATATCTACCTTTAGTGAGGAAAATCCAGATGGTTGGAATTATTGGTTTCCAATAGTAGGACAGAAAACATGTTTTTATAAAAACTTGTTAAATGGATCAACAAATGAGCCACTTGTGATGCTAAAATAATCTTTATTTAAATTTTATTTATCATCAATGAATTTTCTTAAATGAAACGACTGTTTTCTTTTCTTTTTTTTTTGTTTGATGTAATTTTTGATTTTCAGCATAGGATTATGTTCCTAAAATAAACTTTTATTAGATTTCTTACGTGTTTTTAGCAGAAGATCCATGTCTGTATGATTGCTTAAACTATAAAGAGACTGAAATTGTTCATAAATCACTTTCAAGCCTTTTGTAAAGGTTTTTCTCAGTATTATATTTGTTGACTTAATTTATTTAACACTGACTACTTATTTATCCTTTTAACCTACAAACAACAAACACCGGTCAAGTGTGGAGATGTAAAAAAAAAAAAGTATAATTATGTGTAAGTTGGAATTCACTTGTTCTTATTTAATTTTATACATTTGTGTTAAAGTTACGGTGCAGTGCAGAGGAGTGAAAGTATCAACCTCAAACGCTAGAGGGAAAAAGAACATTTAGTTTTAACATTTAACAGAAACAACAGTCATAGTGGAAAGCTATACATTTTAACATTGCAAGCAGGAAAAAGACAAAATAAACTGGGATTTCATTTTAAAGTGGTGTACAAAAATAAAAACAAAAAAACATGCACATTATTTGTCACTTGAAAACCATTAATTGGCATTATTACCACAGACCTCAAAACATCAGGTCAAAACTAACAAAAAATAACCCTTACACCAAAATATTCTTTAATAAAATTCAGAGGGCTTGTTTGTCTCTGCATCATTTTCATTGTTATAACTGATTGAAAATGTGACCTATAATTTTGTTTAAAAAAATAACGTAACAAAATGTTAAAACTTCTAAACTGATTTATTTTGCTGTCCAGTAGAGGAGACGTCCTTTTAGATTAGCAGGTAGAAAATAACTTTTCAGTCAGGGGGTAACATTTAATCTACACCCATTAGTCTTAGTGGTTGTTATCATACCAGATGACTCATTTATATAAAACACTGTAGGACCTATTGGCAGGTTATGTCCAGTACGATGGATACGGCTGCGGTGAAACCATTTCGCCCTTTGGAACAGAACCTTAAACTTTTCCTTTCCCCAAATATCAATGGATTCTTATTTCTCTGAATTTTAAATATTCCTGTTTTAAATAGTCAACACCGTTCCCTTAGTGTCTAACTCTGAGGATATGTGCCACAAGGCTGAAACATTACATTATTTTACACGTATAACTTAACATGATTATTTTGAACCATATATATAGTTTGATATTTAAGATTTAGGGTAGCTCTGGCAAGAAGTTTAAAGACAGTCAGCAATGATGGTGATGTCAAACTAAATATTATCTATTAAAAGTGTACAAGAGTGTAAACAAGCCCATTTCTTCTTGTGCACGCTGTGTTTAAAAGTTGCTGTTTGCATTGCTCATGCAATCTTACCTTCCAAAAGAAGTTTTGCATATTTTTCACTATGTCAGACTCACCAGCGGTAATTGAAAATGGGGACGAGCACGTAGGACGGCCTTTGCTTAAACATATCACCAGAATGATTGATCATTAGGAGGACCACTTATTTTGATGATCCACCCGGAAAAAGAGCATCCTCCACTATACCTTTAAATTTAATATCTTCCAGTGAAAGCTGTGTTTTTAACCAGCGCATCAGTTAAAAGCAGCCTTTTGACGATAATTATTCAAGTTAAGACCTTCAAACAGAAGATCATTAGAGGAATGTCAAGTATGGCAGTGGTAGCATCATGATGAGGGCCTGTTTTGCTACCATTGGTGCTGCAAAGTGGATGTACTTAAGGAGGTGGATGAACTTCAATCAAAAGCTCCTTAGCTAAAGCCTGTTAAGACAGGAACATAGTATAAGTATCAGGAATCTTTATTGTCCTCATGAGATCAAAATGAATTGCTGTTTGAGACAAAAATCAATGAATAAATGGATAAAGGATCCTTATTAGGCTTCAGACGTGGACCATGCATCCAACGTGTCCACAAGTTAATGGTCTTTATCGACAACCTGGTTTTGTGTTTCTGCTAATTCAGATTAAAGGAGAGGTGAGACATTTTGACTAAATCCTACAAGGACATCTTTGATTAAAACAAATCTTTTTGGTTTCCCTACAGATTTTCAGAGACTTTTATAAAATAAATAAAATGTACGTATTGAGACTGCATTTATAATTTGGAATCCCACAATGTGCAACACTACTATTGTGTTGCACATTGTGCAATAAACATTATTTTATGGATAAACATAATTTTTTAAAATTGTAGAATTCTTGCCAGAGCTGTAAATACAGGTGAAAATGTGAACTCCTGGAAAGTTTAATATATTTTCATAAAACCAGACTGCTGCTAACAGTTAAAACATTTCCTTTCCTCTAAATGAAGGTCAAATTTTGGAAAACAGTCGAGTTAAGCCACTCATAGCTTTTCTGTAACAGCTGATGTAAGTCTTGGTGATAACATCACAGCGGCCCAACCTGCAAATTTATATTAAAGATGCCAAACTTTTGATGTGTGAAAAACTGCTGCCAAAAGGACAAAAAGGACAAGACTAAAAATCCCACACCACTGGGTGACAAAGAGTGGTGCTGTTGGCAGAATGGGAATAGACAAATAAACATCAATATGGAGTTAACTTTGTTCCATCATTTTTGTAACCAAAGAACACATTTTGTAGATGGACATAAAAAATGTATCCACAAATTAAACTTTGAAAAAGTTCCTTAAGTCGTAGGAAAGCAGCTGTTCCAACCTTTTCATTTCCAAATTCTGGTGCCCAACTTTACACGAGTGAATAAAGTGAATGTGATTGGTCGTTTATCAAGGGGCAGGATTGTTGTGGCGGAAGGTTCACAAGCAAGTTTGATTGTGGTAGGTTTCTCAGTTTCTCATCTTGCTAACCAGTTAGCAACTTAGTGCTAGTAGGTCCCCAATGGGAAATTCCATTGGGACCAACTACCACTAAATTGGTGACTTAGAAACGACACTGTCAAGGAACGCTATGGACAGCGGAAACATGCAAGAGGAGGAGAGTTTACTGTCGGAGGTCGTGGATGAGTCTCCTCCGTCATACATGTTTTATTTAGAGGAGGAAAGCGGAGACGAAGATGTTGTGGAAGAGGACGCCAGGGCGGCAGAAGCTTGGTTTGGTGTAGAAGACTTACAGCCGTACATGTTTGAGCCCTTGCCTCGCAACGCTGCCAGTTCTGTTAGCTCTACGCCTGCTGAAGACACAGATGTCCATCCCAGTGAACACTGGGACGGAACTCAATGGGAAAGGAAATTATTATTTCTTATTTCAACCGTTGCGTATATTAGCTGCAACATATGAATCAATATGCTATGACCGAAAAAATTTGATTGACAGATGATCGTTGATATATGATTGGCCGAATTTAGGTGTTCAGGCTGACGTATAACTAACAGGCCTGCATGACATAACGGAGAAAAAAAACAGATTTTAAGACAGGATTTTTTTTTTGTAATAGAATCTTTTGCGACAATATCGTTTGATAAAGAGTACATTTATATACATGTTGAAGCCAGATTGATTTGACATTTAAATATGACTGCCGTATAACTTTAATGTAAAAAATGTTCTGAGAGTAACTTTTTTTTGTTTCTTTTTTTTGTTTATGGACTGCAGTTCTTTTTTTCAAATTATGTTATAAAAATCAGTTTCTATTCACGAACGCTATTGATGAAAACCAATAATAATGTTGCTAACATCCAGCAGACCAATAGAAATGCGTCTTTGCTCTTCACCACAGAGGAAAACCCGCCTACCTACTGACGTAAATGTGATCTGTAAAACGCAATTTTAAAAGAATGTGATTCGTAAAACTCAATCTGAATAAAAGATACATTTAGGAAAATAAAATTGGAAAAAAATTGTTTTTATTGGTCTGTACGAATGTTATCAACCACACTGTACTCGTTAATGTGCGTATCAAAAGCGAGCGTTTGTATTCAACTTGAAGTGAGAGAGAATTTGATTCCTAAAAGACAAATCTGAAAAGAAGGCAATTTGTAAAACTAAATCTGAGCAAAAAATTTTTAAAAATCTGCAAAATAAAGTAAAAAAAAGTTACATCTGTTTTCGGTAAGTTTTCATTTCTAGATAACATTTTTTCAAATTTCCATTTAAAAAACATGTGCATATGTTTGCAACGATAATGGAACAAAATTAACTCCATACGACAACAGTCAGTTACAGTCAATTATCAGCCAGCAAGTAACGACCTGACCAGCACACATACAGCTGACAACAGTGACACACATAGCTTGGAGTCTTAACATACGAAGGCAGTTGTTTAGTTGTCTTTTTCTAACAACTGCTCAGCTCCAGAGCTGTGATGACTCCTTTAAAAAAATAAAAAAACGGATATCAGACAAGATATCATTTTGGGTCATCACTTTCACAGAATCACAGATGAACCAGGAACAACGCGAGGAGGCCACAACATGATGCACTGGATGTTGTGGCCGTGCACTTGGATACCTCTCATAGTCAAAGTTGGAGGAGTAGGTGCCCTCTGAATGGGCACGGGTCATCCGAGTGGAACGCAGTAACCTGACTGCTTCCTCTCTGCAGATTGGGTACACACCATGGTTGCGGCTGGCAAAAAAATATGGTAAGCATTTAATTGCTTTTTTCCCCCACATAGCAGGTGATATAATTAAGAAAAACCCGCACTGATGGATTTATATTATAGAAATCAGTCATAAACTCTGCAGAGGACCCCCTCTACTGGACGAAACTTCACAAGCATACCTTTATTGTGTAGACAGTGAAGTGAAAGTGTCACCATAGAGTGCTTAAGTGTTAAACAGTCAAATAAAAGCTGAAAAAAAATCAGCAAAGGTGAGAGGGTGGATAAACAAGACTGGTTGGTGGACAAGTGGAAGTGTAGAGATGAGGCTTCATGCAAATTCGGACACAAGTATACCTGAGGTCCTTCTGAGGATCGTCTATAGGTTGAGTATATCTGGCTCGAGGTAAGGTGAGAAAATGGCTGCAACCACATGGAGGGAGGAGAAAAGACACAGATGGATCTGATATGATGAGGAGGAAGAAGACAGGCAATGATGAAAGCAAACAGAGAGAGGGGGAATTCAGAGAGAGTGAATCATGGGCTGAGGGATGGAGGAGAAAAGGGAGCAGAGATCTATAGATCTCTAACAGGCAGAAGTCATGAGTTTTAACCTTTTAAAGAAATAGGAAAAGAGAATAAAAAGAAATGCAAGGACAGTAAGGAGGAGTCATAAGACAAATGGAAGTAATATAACTTGACACCCAGTTTCTATTACAGGAGTCAGCATGGGCAGCATAATAATAACCTGCTCTAATAATATAACTCAGCTGCTACACTCCAGGTTTGAAACTCTTCACACAAGAGAAGCTTGAGAAACCGTCTCCTCTTGTAGATGTGATCTGTGTGAGCTCCAGGTCAGGAGCATACATCTGGGTTTACCATTGGTGGATTAAGGTCTGCAATAGGGTTATCCTTTATGAACATGATTTTATTAACATATATTGTCTTTTTCCTTATATAATAGACTGAAAAGGAGAGATTTTTGAAAATACATTTTTAAATATAAAGTCGGTAAAAAAACAACAACATTTAAATAACATTTTCAATATTAAATTAAGAAGGAAAATTCACTAATGAAGATTTTTTTCAAAGATTCTTTTCTGGATTGCATTTTTATCTTTCTATTTAGAGACTGTGTTCTTTGCTTGCAACAATATTGGAACAAAGTTCACTCCAAACAGGTTCTGAGTAGTTCTCAGGGAGGCGGATTGAGACCAACTGAACTGTTTCTGAGCGGCCAGTGGAAAAAAAAGCCAAATAGAAGTATTTAAAGAGCTGAGTTGGTTAAAGTGTTTTGGACAGGGGAGGCAAAACAACACTTCATTATAACTAGTGCTGCGCTGAGACAATTTTTTTGCCCCGATACCTGACACCTGGCTATGCAGTATCGTACGATACCGATACCATCTGTTTTGAATTGATGCTTGTGTATATATATATGAAGAACTGCATACTACTTGGATGTAAAATAATTGCCATCATGGCTTTGTCAAGCTGCTGCCTACCTTTGTGAAGCAGGAAAAAGACTAAAACAAACAGAATCCAGGAGAACTTTTTATTGCCTAACTGGAATGGGTGACAATAGTTAAATAAACTTTTGGCTCTCAAAATGGTATCGGTGCCCTATTTGTTGGTACTCGCCAATACCGATACCACCATCTTAGTGCTGGATAGTGGCCCCGTCTGACACAGGTATCGGTATTGGTGCAACACAAATTTTTTCAGTTTCTTTTTTGGATTGCATTTTTCATTTATATTTAGAGACCGTGTTCTTTGCTTGCAACGATATTGGAACAAAATTCACTCCAAACAGGTTCTGAGTAGTTCCCAGGGAGGCGGACTGAGACCAACTGAACTGTTTCTGTAGCCTGGGTGCCATTCCGAACTTAGTCCCGCCCACAACATTTGAGGTCGGGAAGTTCGGTCTGGCATTGCTAAATAGTAGCGCAAGTATGCTAGCACAATATCTGATGATCAACAGTAACATAATCAACCACGTGACCAATGCGCGCTTGGGTGACAACAATAATGGCTGCCGCTGGAGAGTTTAGGTGAGTAGATTCTGCTATTAGGTCTGTTCTAGAAGATATCGACAGCAAATTAATTTTAAAAGAGGAACAGAGAAACGCGATCAAGGCTCATCTTCTTATTCTAGGCGTGAAACTGCACGCTTTGATTTTTGTTGACAACAACTATGCGTCGCTTAACATACGTCACGCACTCCGTTGCTCTTATTGGTTGTAGGTCTATCCAATTGAGTGCAGAGGCATTTTTTTTCCTGGTTCGTTCAAATTACGCCCCATAATCACAGCTCTATGGAGCAGTATCAGACTCATATTCTGACTAGAATTGAGTCGGACTACGTCAGGCTATTGTTTCTGAGCAGCCAGTGGGAAAAAAAGCCGAATAGAAGTATTTACACAGCCGAGTTGGTTAAAGTGTTTTGGACAGGGGAGGCAAAACAACGCTTCATTATAACCAACATCAGTGCTGTGCACAGAAATATTGGGGGGCAGGTGCTCAAGTAGAAAAAAAGAGGAATTTGTGTGGCGCTTAGCACGGCTCGCCTATTTCAAATGATTAGCCATATTCTGTCTGATAAATGTTTTTGATAATATTGAACACTACAGGTTGGCTTCATGATAAGTTTGGTAACAACTGAACACAGTATAATGAAACATTAGTGTCTGTAAAATAATTAACCATTTCAAAACATTCAGTTTTGGTGGGGGGTGAGGCAAGAGGGGGGTTTGTTGTGAAAAAGTATAAAAGTTAGTGGTTTTTGTAAAAGTTTTTAAAACCAGAAATGGGCCACAAACTAAAGCTACACTGTTTTAAAAAAAAAAAAAGAAATCATCATTACAGCACTTCTTCTTTGGTTCCTTGTGAAAAGGGCAGGTGCTCTAGCACCACCTGCTGTATTTCTGTTGACGTCCCTGACCAACATCTTTGCTGGTTACTGGGTCCTCAGTCATTACTTTCTGAACCATCTGCATTGTCAGCAGATGGGGGAGTTTTTATTTCTCAGAACTTAGCCCCCTTTAATCCACTTTCTTCAAATAAATATTAGCAAAGCTGTTAGTTCAAACTGAAAACATAAAAAAATCAGAGGCAATGTTTTCATTTTTTCAAAAACTGTATTTTCTTTGACCAAGAGCCAAATTCATTGACTCGTTTTTAATGTCATTCCAACAAGTTTTCTGAAGAAACAACCAGAAGTAGTTAATTAAAGCAGATGGAACACAATAAATGAGCTACTGTCCAAGACAATTTAGATAAGTGCATTTTTTTAATCAAAGGCTGATTTAGGCTGAGCCTTTGAAATACAAATAAAGTTGATTGACCAGGAGAGAGTAGCTGCAGCCTGGCAGTGCCAAGGCAGTGATTGGACTCTGTGATCGACATTTTCAACCAAACAAAAAGTGCTGATGGAGAGCAACTAATAACTTTCTTTGCCAGCATCTTTCATAAAGGGGGTTAAACGCATTCAATAAGAACTACACAGTTCACACAGCATTTGCAGCAAATGTTCACAGTGTAGCATGAGATTAAAATGACAGACAGCTCTGTTCCAAAGGAAAGCTATATTTTTACTTTTGTTTTTTACTTTCCATACCCAACTTGTGTTTAAATCTCTAACAAGTCAAGTGATCCTCCTACTTTATAAAGGAAGCACCTTTAGGTTGAATATGTGTGACGATTTCTGCTGTGGGTCAAAGTAGATGTCAATCAGACCACAAACTGACCCCTACTTTTCAAGTACGGAGTGAATCTTGCTCCATTATTCGCTGTAGCAACTTTATACTTTTCTTTTTTTAATGTTATTTGAGAAAATATTGACAGTATTTCTTTTTTTCATGTTGTTTTCAAATTTTTGTTCTGGGCTCGGGCTTTCCTCTGGACTGAGAACGAAAGACGCACATTTCTATGGATGTAAAATGATTGCCATTATTGCAATGGACGTGAGAAACAACATTTTCATTGGTTTATTGGCTTGATGTGAACAGAAAATATTTGTAAACCTAATCTAAAAACATAAATTTTGAAAATATTACGTCTGTAAATATATGTATTGAAAGAACAAAATAAAAAAATAAAAACAGCAACCATTAATTTAAGATATAAGAAACTCTAAAACCTTTTTAGTTTTCAAATTATTCAAAGGTTTATTTCTGGATTGCATTTTTTTTTTTCAAATTTCCTTTTATGAAACACTTGTTTTGCTTGCAACAATAATGGACTAAAACTCCGGTTTGAATGTTCTAGTATCTAAATAAACAATAAAATAAGTTCAAGCTTTTTGCTATATTTCATTAGCAGAGAAATAACCCCCTGAAATGATTCAAGTCACATAATAAGAATGCAGAATATTTCTGATAAATGTGATTTTATCTGTAACAAACATAAACAACAACACACAACAGAAGAAAAGAGAAAATATCTAGTCTTTGTATTTGCTAAAGTTTGTTTACCTGGAGGTTGGTGGAACACTAGGAGAGCGCGACCGAGCCCGGTTTATGTCAGCCGACCGAGAGCAGTGGTTAGACGACATGATCTGCTCCGGGACAGACAGCGTGGAGCTCCGGAAGTCTCTGCCGTTTGGCCGATAATCTAAACAAGAATTGGTCACCAAACATATAGAGGGATAATAAAAGGAGAGAAGTAGTTTTACATTCATTTACCAAACCTTTTACAGCATTACTGGAGTCCAAATTATGTTATAATTGATTTAATTTAAACCAGGGATCTGCAAGCTGTGGCTCTGGGGCCACAAGGGTCTCTATGGACTTTAAACAGTGGATCCAGTTAATGTTCCAACAAATACTGAAGGTTTTAAGCATTTTCTTCAATTGATGATGAAATAATTGCTCTGAATTGATTGCCGTTTTCTGGCCGATCACTCATCTTTAAAAAAAACCTTGACATGCGAAATCTGGCTATGAGTTTTGTTTATTGCAGTTTCTATAAGATGATATCATACCTTCAGTGTTTGAATCTCATTTTGATCAAAAGAAAAAAAAAATACTCATAAAACATTAAAATAACCCTCTGACATTCTAATAAAACATTTTGTTTGACAGAGGCCTTTGCAGACGTAGAAAATATTGGTGGATGAGATCGATCAGCGTTCTCAAAGTTAAGAAAATCAAGACCAATCAAGACTAATTTTACATAAATATCAACATCCAATAGAAGAAACTGTATCTGTCAATTAACTCACAAAAAATATTTCTGTTTTTTAACCTACAAACTTTTTAAAACTGTGGTTCTTTCGAAAAATACAGTCAAGTTTTCCTGCGTAGATATTTATCAAAAAATATGTCCAGAAACCCACAGCATTTGGACTCTCAATACATTTTAAGTGTTTGGTTGGAGAAGGCCTCAGACCTCTGATCTAAATATTAAGGTTAAAAAACCAAAACAAAGGTCATCTGATGTTATAGGCCACATAATATCATATTTTCACTTCTAGGCTCGACTATTGCACTTCTTTACTATGAGGAAGTCCACAAATTGTAGTTAAAAGTCTTCAGCTGATCCAAAATGCTGCAGCCAGAGTTCTGAGGAAAAT